CGACATACCGAAATCTCACACTCAAGTTCTTCAGTACACTCGAGTTTCCGTCGACTGAGGACTACATGACATGCCGTCTACTTGGGACAGAGAGGATCATCACTGTCGACATCATGGAAAAAGTCGTGGGACTCCACAGTGGCGGCGCAAAGATGAATGAAGGAATGACTCCTAATATTTTCTGGCCCTAGCTTTCTCCCGACACGGTGTGGGACTCGTAGGGCTTGGCTAATAGCCTCATCAAGGATGGTGTTGTCGCTGTGATGCACAAATTTTTGTGCTATGGTGTGTTCGGGAAGAAGGAGGCCAACAAGGTCACTCAGATTGACCTCGCCCTGCTGTGGGCTATGCTCGAGAGGAAGAACCGAGATGTGTTGGATATTTGTAAGGAGGAGTGTCGCGCAGTCATTCGGAGCAAGAGAGCGGCAGCCTGCTTTGGTCATATAGCGACCGCTCTGGCTTTGCACTTCTACGTTGACCCGGCAGCGTCTGGCAGCCTTCCTACTCGTATGCGGTTCATTGACTCCTATGAGCTGAGTCATTCGGGCCTAATCCGTGATCGCCGCACCTTTGAGGCCTATACAGAGCGCCCGGCCTATGCCACTTATATGAAGAAGGTGGGTACGGCCGCTTCCACAGCTCAGGCAGGCTTGTCTCGTCCTCCGCACGAGCCCGAGATACCCACGAGACAGAGAAGATGGAGCACGATCAGGCTCTTATCGACGAGGACCATCGCCTTCCGCCTCCTGATGATTGGCAACCGGCCCCGGGGGCTGATTCCCGGGAGCCACGGACCACCCGTTTGCAGCAGCGACCAGCGGGTACGTCTGGCCCGCCCGCTTGGTGGTCCCAGCCTCCTCCGTGGTGGACGGCGTTCAAGGACCGCTACGATCGGGACATGCGCGACATTAGTGCCCGGTTCGACAGCGCCGACCTCCGCTTTCAGGCTATAGAGGCATGGCAGACCCAGTGGGATGCGCAGTTTGCACAGTGGAGCTTAGGCACCGGCCATCCTTATCCTCCTCCTCCTCCTCATGGACCACAGTGACTTGTCACTGTGTTGGTTAGCTTTTCTTTTTATTTTCTCTTTATTATGTTTCTTTTTTGTATTTTCTCTTTGTTGTGTCGTGTAGGTTGATTATGTAGTCCACCTTCCTTACACTGCGGATCGACAATGGGGACATTCTCTGATTTTAAGTGTGGGGGAGTTTTATGTGGCTATTTGGTTGACCAGGTCTAGTTTCTTTTGTTTTAGGATGTGTTTTTATTTCTTTCTCTTGCTTTGTGGACCGGTCTAGTGTAGGTCTTATTTGTTTTGGAGTCTGTACTTGAAAAATTCATGATGAGTTAAGACGTGTTTAATGAATTCGATGAGTTGTGATGTTGGTATTGTATGGCATAGCGTGATGAAATGCTTGGTTAATGGCTTTGATTGACATTCAGGTATTTGCCTAGTGAGGTTTGAGCCTTATTTCTTTCTTGAGATACATTGGTCGTGCTCTTGTTTGATTAGAACTTGCCCTGAGTCTGCATCGAAATGAATCAATTTAGGTTGTGAACTATGAATATGATTAAGGCATTCTTTGTATTTTTCTATCCTTGTTTTTTCTGCAGTTATTCCGTAGTTGCCCTTTTGAGCCTAATTTTTTTTTTTTATATATAACCTCGTGATGATGACATTGTTGAGTTTCGGGTTGAGAATGGGAGGGGATAATTGTGGAGTTTGTTTATATTTTTAGAAAAAAAAAAGGAAAAAAAAAAGAAAAAATAGTAGCTGAATGGATTGTAAATGTCCAAATAGGTTGACAAAAAAAAAAAAAAAAAAAAAGAGTGACCAAATAGGGTCACAGACACAAAAAAAGAGCAAAACAAAATAAGTTGGGTGAAACGTGTGTTTTTAGGAGAAGTGTGGGGGAAGATCCGGTTTGTTTGAGCAACCGGTTGAGCTTGCATTCGTGGGTTAGGAGTTTGAGTTGTATTCAAGCCACTTAGCCTATCCTACCTGTCCAAAGAGCCTACGTTACGACCCTGAAAGACCTTTTGATTCACTAGTTTCGATTTTGATTGGTTTAGAGTAGAAGTTAGACAATGGGCAAGCCTATGATTGAACTTGTTATCGACCAATTTGAGTGCATCCATATCTTTATCTGTATAAGAAAGTGAGTGAGGTACACATATACATTCCCATACTTGAGAGGACGTCATATTAAAGTTTAGCGATCAAGCATATAGTCGTGTTATGTGCGTATGTGCCATTTGAATGCTCATTGTTGAAGTTAAACGTGTAGAGACTTATCTTGTTATCGACTGATGTCCATGCTCGTTTTTGTTTTGTGTCTTCTCTTTTCTTTTTTTCTCTTTTCCTTTTCTTTTCTTCTCTATTCTTTTCTTTTCTTTTTGTTCGGGACGAACAAAGGTCTTAGTGTGGGGCAGTTGTTTGTCCCATTTTTGTGTCTTTATTTCATGTTTATTTTCTTTTTGGTTTCCCCCATTTGTAGGTTTTCTGTAGTTATTTGGTCCATTTATTTTGTTTTGTACTTTTGTATTTAGTTTATATTTTTGTGTCTTTTTGCCGTGTTTTGCTTCGTGTTTTTTCGTGTTTGTGTTTTCAGGAGGTAAGTTGTGCCGGTCTAGGTTGGGACTGCTTGAGCCGAGACCATGATATCGAGAATACCCGTTGCCGAGCCCAGTAGACTAAAGGAAGGACTGAAAAATGGACAGAAAAGGCGCCCAGAATTTCTCGCGACCCGCGAGAAAAACTGGGGCTAAAGGTGCAGTTGCGAGGAAATGTCGTGACTCGCGAGAAGATGTCGCGACTCACGAGATGGAGTCGCGACTTGCGACTTTGGTCGTGACTAGCCCCAAAATATAAAAAAAATGACGACGCGCGTCTCGCGACCGAGGAAAAGGCAAAGTCGCGACTCGCGACTTATCTGCGCGAATTTTGAGGAGCGGGATTTTAACATCAGATTTCGGTCCTAGGGATCATAATTCGACTTCCAGACTTTGTTTTTACGTTTTTTTTCTCTCTAGAAACTCATTCTTTTTCATACTTTTGCACTTTGGATTTGTTTTGGAGATTGAAAACTCCTTTTCGCTGCTTTGGATTTGGATGCACTTGGATTTGACATTGAATTCTTATCATTGATCGTAAGTTCTTTTTCTCAATTGTTTTATTGATGATGATGGCTTGGGTTAATATGAATTGTGATGTTAGATTCCATATGAGTAGCTAAATCCATTCGCTAGGGATAGGGGATGATTGATTGATTAGGTTCGATAATGATTGAATGCTTTTGATTGTTCATGTCTATGCGAGTTGTGTGAATTATAGGGTTAGTAGATTGATCACCTTTCTAACCTAGATAATCAACGTGTAGAACCGAGAGGGGAGACGTTGGTCGAATTAGGCTCGTTTAGAATAGATTTGTTCAGAAACGTATAATCTATGTGTTGTTGGAATTGATAGTTGATCGTTTACATTCACCCTCTTGTTACGAAGAGTTATTGAGAGTGAACCAATGAACGAGAAACGATTCAAGTCCTTTAACCGAGTAATTGATTGCCGGTGATTATGTTAGAACCGAAAGCAATTATCCCCGATTCCCTAGCTCTTTAATCATTCAGTGAATTTATTTGCCATTTTACTTTCATTTTATTCAGTTTAAATCATTAGTTGATAATTGAAACCCAAAGAACATTGAATTAGAATGTTTAGGAATTTGTCTTTTCTTTTTCGTGATTGAATAAACGCACAAGAATATCCGGCTAACCTTCCTTGCGATACGACCCGGGGACGAATCTTTCGATTCTACTCCGGTAAAAATACTGACAACCACGTACGACAGGAACTATAATTCGCGACATCTTCGAACCTGCCAGTGCAAGAGAAGGTCGACGACAGTCGTCGTCGGCTTCCTTCCGCCGGCTACGCGGCAGACACCAGGAGTAAAGGAAAAGATGAAACCGGATTGGGTGGCAGAGATGGATTGTCGGCGTGAGAGAAAACATATAGATGGTGCGAGAGTGATGCGACGGGTGGCAGCGGACGACAGTGGGCTGTAGCGGGCGGCAGGCGGGTGAGAGAAGTGGTGGCAGGCTTCATTTCCGGTGGTGGGAACCTGAATAGAGGCGAAAGAATAGAAAGAGAGAGAGAGAGAGAGAGAGAGAGAGAGAGAGATAGAGAGAGAGAGAGAATTGTGTTAATTATGTTGGAGGTGGTGGAGCCCACTGGGTGGATGAGTTGTAATATATTATGTATTGTCCGTTTTACCCTTGATAAGTGGACAAATATGTACATTTGACCATAATGTGTATATAAAATTACCATATTTCCATTAATGATTGACCAAATTTTGACTTAATATTAACCATTGATATGATGAACCCAATGATCTAGATTTATTCTCATTTCTTTTATTATCTTCCTTTCTCATATGATCCCAATTATATATATATAGGGTCGCACTCAGGTGAGAATAGTGTTCAACGAAAAAAATGAGAATACATCCTAACCACAAAATTGAATTAATCTAACGCACTAAATTAGCCTATACGCGCATAACTATAGGGCTAAATATGTAATTGTCATTAGTGGCCCCACCCCAATTAAACCATTTCTCCTTTTCCCCAGACCCACGCAACCCGTCACCACTCACACACACACACTTCACGGGGACGCACAGACCCACAGACCGGGTGTCGCCAACCACCCACGGAGCGCCGCCACAACCCGTCACCCGTCGTCCCGTCGGAGAGCTGCCGCGCACAGCCCTTAGCCACTACTCGTCGCCTCCGACCGGCGCAACACTTAGCGACGCGCATAGCCACCGCCCGGTCCCGCCGCTAACAGCCGTCGGCGACGGCGACATCTCCGCCTTCCCCACAGCCACATCCCTTAACTGTGCTCACTTGAACCCACGACTCATTGTGCACACTTGAACTCAACACACACAACCCTTAACTGTGAGATTGGCAAATACACAACCTTACCTATGAGAATGGAAAATTTGGTTTATGTGTGCAAGGTGGAAGGGATCCGATTTCAAGAGTTTATGTTTGCAGGATCCGATTTGCAGGACAAATTGTGTTTATGTTTGCAAGAACTTGGGTTTTGATTTTGAAAATTTGACATTTTTCTAGGACTCTATTGCAATTTTAATAAAGTTTGATTATTCTTCAATTTAGCCCATGGGCTAAATCTGCAATTTATAAAAAATATTTTTTTCTTATTTTTTATCATATATATTAATATAATAAATAAAGACATTAAAAAATAATAATTTATAGTAGTAAAATAATATGAAATATATTTTATTTTTATTTTTTATAAATAAATTGATAAGTGCAAATTGATATTAATTGAAATACAAACTATTAAAGTTCATATAACTAAAATGCACATAAAAAATACACAATCAATAGAGTGCACAACAATTTTATACAAGATGCACATTATAATCTGCTGGAATGCACAATATTGATTTAGTTATTTGATATATTATGTCTTTTCAACTAAAAAATAATATAAAATATTAAATATAAATATTAGAGTATTAAAATATATTTTCATAATATAAGTAGTAAATCGTTTTGATCAATGAGGGTAATACGATTAATCGATTGAATAAATTGGTTATTTGATTCAGTTTTAATTCGGGTTGGAACAAATTATTAAAAACATTCAAGGTTCGAGTGCACAATAGTGTTAGATGAATTGCATATTATTGACTAACAGATTGCACAAAAGGGACCGATTCGACCGAACTGGATTGTTTGATTTGACATTTTATATGTCGATTTGATTATTTGTTTTTACTTTAAATTGTAGATTATTTCAATTCGGTGTTGGTTTTTTTTTTTTCTCATATAAACGAAATAACCGAATCTATTGGACTATATAGAATTATTATTATTATTATTATTATTATTTACTTATTTATTATTTTTTTAAATGTATCGAAAGTGCACAACACTGTTAGACGAATTGCACATTAGTGATTATCTGATTGCACATTAACGACCGAAATCTAAAATCCCAAGAAAAAGGAATATAAATTATTAAATAAACGTATAAAAATATCGAAAATATCAGCACCAACCGATTAACTATATTGTGTATATATTGACCAAATTTTTAAAATATCAACGCCAAACGAATACACTTTTAGTATACTGTTAGTCCATAATATATTTTTCAATGAAATGTATTACATTTTTAAAAAGTTTGGTCATTTTTTTTTTTTGAAATTTTAACGTGCAAATTCACACACTATATTGTGTATTGTACTGAACATTATTGTGCATTTATTAAACTTTTATTCAATTGCAGATTTTGCCTGACATATCAAATTGAAATATAATAAAATATACAAAAATACACTTGAGTCCTTTTAAGTTATCAAATTGACAAACAAAGACCCACAATCCATGCATCATTAATCTCTCTCCCACAGCTTTCATCTCTCCCAAATTCCAAATTCCAATCACTGGCTGACAGCGCCATCATCAATTTTGAGGAATTCATCTCACTCCTCAACAAGACTCTGTGCACCGGTCATACTAAATTCCGCCTCAACCTGCTCTCAATTTCAGATCGATGTCGGCCACTGCAAGAGAGCTCTTAAATTCGGGTCGGGGAAGATCGAGCGGAAGGAGACGTCAACGACCATCACCTTCGATTCTCCGACGGCATCCGTTCGGTTCGTCGTTGATGGGGGCATGAACGGCCTGCGGCGTTGCTACGACGGGAAACAGACTGTGGCTACGGCGACGACGGGACCAATTGGGTTGTGGCGGCGGCAAGATGTGGATGCGATTGGGCTTTTGGAGGCGGGCAGCATGGTGGACGGTGTAGCGGCTGACGCCGGTGGGAGCGCCGGCGGCTGATTGATCTCCGACGCCGGATGGGGATGCGATTATGGCGGCTTTCGAAACTGGCGGTGTGCGGCGGAGTCGACGCCGTGTGTTCATTGTGTGTGTGTGTGAGAATTTTGAGTGTGTGTTTGTGTGTGAAACAGACGGGGAGCTTGCAGGTGGGATTGGTGGGGATGGTCACGTGGTGGGTATTAGGTGGGACCCACTATGAGTGGTGGATGAGTTGTACTTGTGCGTAATGCCCGTTTTACCCTCTGACCTGTGTATATTTATTTACTATATTGCCATTAATGATTGACAATTGTTTATTAATGTTTGACTTGATCATATAATGTATCGAATGGTCTAGAATCATTCTCATTTCTTTCATTGTGTTCCTTTCTCATTTGAGCGATCATATGAGAATGGTAGATAGTGAAAGAAATAAGAATAAATCTGAGCCATTCAATTTATTATATCAATGACCATGATTAAGTCAAATTTTATTAATTATAATCAAACAAGTTGTGGCAATTTCGTAATTAAATGGTCATATAGTGGTCAAATATATCCATTTGACCACTAAGTAAGGGTACATTAGTCAATTCAATTTTTTCCATCCAACCTAGTGGGCCCACACCACCTACCCTATCTCTCTCACATACTCACACACATCTCACGCAGTAGCACACACACTACCAGGCGGTGGTTTTCCCCCGATGCACCACCTCGACACCTCCACCTCCACCACCTCCGGCCATCAACTTCCGACAACCGCCGTCCACACACCGGCTGGTTCTGTCACCACCGCAACCAACCACCAGTAGCTCAGCCACCAACCTCCACCATCCCCGTCACCAACCACCACAATCACCGCCACCAACAACCACCACCAATCTAGCCCCCAACCACCACCAGCCCCGCCACCGGACTCGAAGCACCACCAGCCCAACCATCGACACCAACCCCCAACAGCCCTGCCACAGCCGTGAAAAGACCGGCCGCTGCTCGGCAACCGTCCATAATTATCAACCACCGTCATCTAGCCACTCCGACCACCAGCAGTCCAGCCACCACTCACCCAGCCACCGACTCGAAACACCACCGGCCCCGCCATCGACAACAACCACCACCAGTCCTGCCACAGGAACACACTCGCAGCTGCACAACCACATCGATACCGCACAGCCACCGTCTGCAATTATCGCCACCGACATCTAGCCGCTTCGCCTTTGCCGCAGACACCATCGTCGCCGTCCGTGCCTCCATCTCCTCTCTGTGTCTTCCAAGGCTGACACGGTCCGCCGGCGGGGATCGAACACCTCTGCTAAATGAACACTCGATTCCAACCGTCCGCCACACTGGCCGTAAATGTCGACGGTGATCTGAAGAGAGAAGGGAGACAATGGCCAGATTTCTCCTTTTTAAGTTGTGCGTGATTTTCAATGTTAGGGATGAGTTCAATTTGGGGATGAACCATTATTTTAACAATTGCTATTTAAAAAAAAAAATTATAATATACATAAATTAATGGCCTAAATATTTTATACTAAATTTAAAAATCTAATAAATATAAAATATTGATAAAAAATGTAAAAAAAAAAAAGTCGACATTGATACTTAATAACTAAAATTTTAAAATATAAAACGACAATCAACTCAATATATAAAGTTTCGAACCGAAAAATTGATTTCGGGCACTTGTGATTGCTATGGTGTGCAATTTGTGAGGCATTAATGTGCATTTTATCTAACAATATAGTGCACGACTTTGGTCGTTAATATGCACTCTAACCAACATTAATTGAACCGACTTTCTTTTATCACAATCAAAATTAAAACCATACATAAATGTTTGATATAGTCGGTCAGTTAAACAAGTTAACCAAAATTATCGATTTACATTATTATGCATATTGTAGTTAGTATTTTGAAATTGAAAGAAAAATCCGCTTTTTGAGGATCAAAAGAGTCAGGGATCTACCTTTCCAGCAGCTAAAGAGACTGTTCTGACCAGACATACCTTGCCTAACACGTCCGATCCGCTAAAGGGATGGATTCAAGCAGCAGCCGACCGAGGGATTGAACTTGGAAAAGAAAATTAGATAATCGACACGAATATAAAATTTCGTTTCGTATATTTTAGTTTGGACGGTTTCGATCGCTTAATGTGCAATCTAATATTCATTTGTGTGCAATATGTCTAACAATATTGTGCATTTTCAACACATAAGAATGTATAATTTATATAGTTCGCTTTGAAACTTTATATTTCGGTTCGATAATGTGCAATCTAACGCTCACTATAGTTCGCCTTGAAACTTTATATTTCGGTTCGATAATGTGCAATCTAACGCTCACTAATGTGCAACCCGTCTAACACTGGTGTGCATTCCGTTTAGCATTATTGTGCAGTCTAGTGATTGATTATTTTATGTGCACTTTTTCTCAATTTTATAAAGCGTTAATAGTACGTATTCCATCAACCTTATTTTGCATTTATCATAATATTTATATAATAAATATAAATACATTTTTATTTATTATTTTTTACCATTGTTTGTTGAAAGTAAATAATACACGTGTATAAATATAATTTTTAAAAAAATATTTTTATATAGTTTCGTCGATTCTCGTAATCCTTTTTTTTAAATAAATTTTATTTTATTTTATTTTATTTTTAAATAAATCCAACCAATGAACCAAACTAACAGAAATTTTTAATATTTGTGAAAACCGTTATTGTGCATTTGACCTATCATTACTGTGCATTTTGATATTCACTTATGTGCATCTTAATTACTATATTGTGTATTATGCAGTGCGAGGTCTTTTTTATGTGAACTGAAATAATTTGGTTATTTGATTGGTTAAAAATGTTGTAAAGGTGCGCATGCACACTGCGTGCAAATATTTTAATGTATGTGAATGACTATTTTGTCCCTGATGTAATTGTATTATTACAATTGTGTCATCAGAAGTTTTCCTATAAATAGGGACTTCAGTTATAATGAAAAATACACCGAAAAGAATACAATTTCTCTATTCTCTATAGTCTCAATTCTCTCTAGTTTTATAACACGTTATCAGCACGAGCGCTCTACCTGGTCAGAAAGGTAAGAATATAACAATATATGTATGTATATTTTACTAATTTACACATTACCATTATTCTTGACAAGTTAGGCTCTGCCACAGTCAAGGACATGTGGTATGAATATACTAAATATGACATTATTTACCATTATTCTTGACAAGTTAGGCTCTGCCACAGTCAAGGATATGTGGGAAGAATATACTAAATATGATATTATTTACAGATTACCATTATTATTGGCAAGTTAGGCTATGCCACAGTCAATAATACGTGGTAAGATGATATTATTAAATTTGCTTATGAATTACTAATTATGACAAATAACTTCAAGTTATATAAATAATATTATTACTTATACTTAACACCCACAAACTGGTTTATCCAGTAATGTGGCGTGAGATTTATAACTGCTTATTCTTGTACCCACCGAAAGCTTTATCGAGTAGTGAGTAGTGACATTTTTTTTGTTTCATTACTTATATTCATTAAATTATTTACATAATGGCTCGGAAAATTTTTAAGGTAATATACATGATTAATTAGAATTTTATAATCATGAGTTGATTAACTAACAAATATTATATCATTAATTTGTTTCCAACGGCTAATTAACGGCTATATTGCAACGGTTATTTTATCAATCTATATATATATATAACACTATATTTCATAAATTAACACTCATTCCACATACTAATATATTCTCCTCAAACGAAAAGAAAAAAAAAAATGTTTCATCCACTATTTATAATTACCATTATATTGTTTATTATATACGCTTTGGGAATTTTCACAATGATGTATCATACTCCTGAATTTATATTTTATGTATTAGGTCTTTGTATAATGAGTTTATTATTTGCTCTTCTGTACGTGTTGGAGAATTAATGATTGTATATGTAATTTTTTTTTTTCGAATCTAAGCATTGGTGTTTTATTTTATAGTTATCATGGCAAATCTGGTCAAACTCGAATTTGAAGCTCTTGATATATCTGGAAAAATTTATATTTCATGGACATTGGATGCCGAAATTCATTTGGCTGCAAGGGGATTGGGAGAATCAATAATCTCACCAAATAATTCATCAATACAAGATAAAGCTAAAGCAAGTGAAAGATCCTGCAGATCTCTGGAAAGCCTTGAAAGAAAGGTATGATCACCAGAAAACGGTGATTTTCCCCCGGGCTCGTTATGATTGGATGCACTTATGCTTCCAAGATTTCAAAACTGTAAACGAGTACAATTCAGCAATGTTCCGCATTTGCTCGGTATTGAAATTATGCGGGGAAAACATAACTGATTACGATTGCTGGAAAAAACGTTGTTCACATTCCACGCTTCAAATGTACTTTTGCAGCAACAATACAGAGCAAAAGGCTTTGTGAAATATTCTGAATTAATTTCTTGCTTGTTGTTAGCTGAACAAAATAATGAGCTGTTGATGAAAAACCATGAATCTAGACCTACGGGATCTACTGCGGTCCCTAAAATAAATACTGTAATATCTAGACAGGGAACTGAAAATAAAAACAGCCAAAATCATGGGCGTGGATATACCTCAGGGCGTGGCCGTGGTGGTGGACGTGGCCGTGGATATGGTCCGGATCGCCAAAGCCGAGGCCACAAATTTCACCGAGGGTATAACTCGGGCCGAGGATACAATCGTGGACGAGGCCGCAACTATGTCCAAAATTATGAAAGGGGGAGAAATTTCCAGCCAAAATTTGAACAGAACAATGTGACGGAGAATAATAATGAAAATGCATGTTATCGATGTGGAAGGAAGGGACATTGGGCACGAAATTGTCGTGCTTCGAGACACGTTGTTGATAATTATAACGATTCTCAGAAATCAAAAGATAAGAATATAGAAATCAATTTTATGATTGGGGAATCTTCTGAAAATGATGCAACACGTGTGGATGATGACTATGGCATCGATGACATATTATAACTGGATTTTGCCGACGCGAGTTTGAAGACAGAGATGGAAATGACCAAGAGAATAACTGATGATCA